GAAACGTGAATTGGCCTTAGTTCACGTTTTCTGCTGTATAAACAAAAGAAACGCTCGCCGTTTGAGTTCCTCGAGGCTGCAGCATGGAAATAACGTAATAAAGCAGAATATTTCAATCACACTATTCAGTTTGCATCCTTTCATTTAACGTAAAGAAAAGCAAGATTCACTTGACAATCACGTTACTTCGCCTATTACACACAAATACGCAAGTCTCGCTCGCAGATTAAATTCCTTTATGTTATTCGTGGAGCTCACGTATTTGTTCGAAAAGAATTAAGCCGAATCATGAATTTGCATTAGTTCACGTTTTCTGCTGTAGAAACGAAAGAAACGCTCGCCGCTTGAATTCCTCGAGGCTGCAGCATGGAAATAACATTATAAAGCAGAATATTTCAAACACACTTTTCAGTTTGCATACTTTAACGATTTAACATTAAGAAACTCAAGATTCACTTGACAATCACGTTACTTCGCCTACTACACGCAAACTCTTAAGTTTCGCTCGCAGATTGATTTCTTTTAAATTATCTCGTAGAGCTAGCGTGTTTGTTCGAAAAAATTCAATTTGAAACGTGAATTTGCATTAGTTCATGTTTTTTGCTGTACAAACGAAAGAAACGCTCACCGCTTGAATTCCTCGAGGCTGCAGCATGGAAATAACTTAATTAAGCAATATATTTCAATCACACTCCTCAGTTTGCATCCTTTCACGAATTAACGTAAAGATAAGTAAGCTTCAATTAACAATCACGTTACTTGGCCTATTACACGCAAACTCGCAAATTTCGCTTGCAGATTGATTTTTTTTGCGCTTTCTCGTAGAACTAGCGTATTTGATCGAAAAGTTGCAAGCCGAAAAGTGAATTTCCATTAGTTTTCGTTTTCTGCTGTTCAAACGGAAGAATACGTTCGCCACTTGAATTCCTCCACGCTGCAGTATGGAAATAACATAATAAAGCAGAATATTTCATTCATACTCTTCAGTTTGCATACTTTCACGATTTAACGTAAAGAAACGCGATATTCAATTGACAATCACGTTACTTCGCCTATTACACGCAAACTCGCAAGTTTCGCTCTAAGATTTATTTCTTTTACGTTTTCTCGAGGAACTAGCGTATTTGATCAAAAGAATGCAAGCCGAAACGAGAATTTGCCTTTGTTCACGTTTTCTACTGTAGAAACGAAAGAAACGCTCGCCGCTTGTATTCCTTGACGTTGCGGCATGGAAATAACATAATAAAGCAGAATATTTCAATCACACTCCTCAGTTTGCATCCTTTCAGGATTTAACCTAAAGAAACGCAAGATTCACTTGACATTCATGTTACTTCGCCTATTACGCGCAAACTCGCAAGTTTCGCTCTCAGATTGATTTCTTTTACGTTTTCTCGTGGAACTAGCTTATTTGATGGAAAAGATTAAAGCCGTAGTGTGAATTTGCTCTAGTTCAAGTTTTCTATAGAAAAAAACGTAAGAAACGCTCGCCGAATGAATTTTTTTACGTTGTAGCGTTGTGATAACGTAATAATGCAGAATATTTCAATCACATCCTTCAGTTTGCTTTCTTTCATGATTTAGCATTGAGAAACGCAAGACTCAATCGACTATCACGTTTCTTCGCCTATTACACACAAAATCGCCAGTTTCGCTCGCAAACGGTTTTCTTTGAACGGTTTTCTTTGAACGGGTTTCTCGTGAAACTAGCGTATTTGATCGATAAGTGTTACCTCCTCGAACCCTCGGGGACGAGAACAAGCTGCTCTCCTTTTAGTTTTGAATTTACCTTCATTCACCGGCAATATCCCGGGAAGATTGAGAGCACCCGCTCTTTGCTGATAGGTAAATAATGAGAAAAGGGACGTTGGGCGGGCATTGAATAATAATTTCGATATTCCGATACCTTTATATTTATTAAAAAATTTATTAACTTCTTGAGGGCTTTTATTATAATATTTAATATTTCGTTGAATTTGACAATGTTCTCGGCAAGAATTATATTATCTGAGTTTACGCGAGTTTACGCAAGTTTAGGCGAGCGATTCTTACGTTTACGTCCTCCTCGATGTCTTTTATGGGGTATCTGTTGATAGGTGCACTTTATATTAATATTTAATTATCTTCTTAATTCTATGTAAGGCTCTTCAGATTGTTATCTCGATAGCTATCTCAACTCCTGGGTGATCTACCACGTATAAAAATTGCGCTGGGTGTGAGAATAGTAAGCTCTGTTCTTGGGCGATTGCTCTGGGTAACAATGGTGAGAAGGATGGCTTAGCGAGCACAACTCCTAGGTGAGCTACCTTGACAACAGATTCGACAAGGGTAATATAACAAGCTCAACTCCGAGGTGAGCTACCGTGGAGGGGAAGTAGATGCGATGGAACTGAGCTCACTTGCAAGCAATTTTTCTAATGTGTCTTAGTTAAAATTAAATGCTTTGTTTCAATAAATAAATGGTTCTTTATTTTGAGTTGTTTCCTAAAATGGTCTTAGAATTTGGCAATATGGTAATAAGAATTTAAATTTGACCAAAAACAATTATTTGACACTCTGATTCGGACGTAATTGCTTTATTACAACTGGATAGACTCTGTGCAAGATTCCAAGAATTATCGTAAAATAATTAGAGCTCTATCTGTTCACAGTTTCGTGATGCAGCGATGGAATAAAACACAGGGTACTTCACACGTCGGGAGATTCGCATGGAATCGTAATATCAACTTCATTTATTTCAAGAGTACGTAAAACAAGACTTATGCTACGGACGGCTGTTACAAGGCTCGTGCGCACGCAGTAGAGGCTCGGTGTGAAGGCGGTAGGACTAGAACTCACTGCACCGTAGTTTAAATTGTCTTAGTTGCCGGGAGCGTTTATAAAATCGCTCGTTTCTCAAGGAGCAGACTGACTAGTCTCGTATGAGGGAGTAAACCGCTCTGGAGGTAATACTGAGTGTCGAATAATTAAGACTGACGAAATAAAGAACGACAGGCTCGATGACTTAATAAAACCGTATAAGATTGATAATGAACGAAGTGACCAAAAGACGATCAGACTAAAAAGAGGACGAACGAAAAGGAAAAGATCGAAAAGAAAGGAAAGACTGAATTAAGACAGACAGGCGACTAAGACTGAAAGTATTACCGAAAGAAAAAGAACATCGGAGGTTGCAGTGCGCGGGCTTTTATACTCTTTGACGACAAAGGCGAGGAGGGCACCGGAGTGGGGGCTCGCGCTTACGAAAATATCAAAGGAGATCGGTGCCCAAGTCGTTTATGAATTATTCTATTAAAAAAGATAAATACTGCCCGAGTTACTCGAAATTTATTCAAAAGGCAGATCGAGTCTTCCGAGATATTTAAGTTACGCCAAACAGATAAAAAATTCTGAGAAGCTCGAGGTATGCCCGGTCGTTTCAAGATAGTGCATGATAATTTATTATTTGATTTTTAAATCGGGGCTCTAATAATTTGATTTGTTCGACATTCAGTATTATATCTCTTAAATAAATTTTGGCAAGGAATGCTCTTTCACTGTGAGATTAACACGTTCAACCCGGCGCGAACCACCGGTGGTTCACAGGCATTGCTTTCATCTGGCGGCGTGAACCACCGGTGGTCCACACCTAGTTTGCTCTGTCTGGCGGCGTGAACCACCGGTGGTCCACACACAGTTTGCTCTGTCTGACGGCGTGAACCATCGGTAGTTCCCATATATTTCTAATTTTATTTGAAAAAGCATACTTTAAATTGAACAACTGGGAAGAGACTAGATGATAATATNTGCCTATAAATATATGCATTTCATCCCGAGTTGTCGGTTTCCATTGCTGTTTGTGTTTTCTAATAGTAACTGATGAATGTGCTTGTAGCGCACATTTTTCATAATATTTGTTGGTTTCTAATACCATAAGGTCAATTATATCATCACAAAGAAATAATTTAAAAATTGAAAAGGCATTATCATAATCTATTTCTGGCAACATTCTATGTTCTTGATTGTATTTTTCAAAAGGAACACAATCTGTTATAAAAGGGCTCCAATCTTGTTGATCACACATAAACTGCGACAATGTATTCTCGTCATGTTCCTCTCTATTTAGCAGTATTGCGTCCAAAAACTCATCTTCCGAGTCCGATGAATATAAGATTCTAGGTTTTTTTCTGCGTGAATTTCGCAGGAACTCAAAATCATCGTCTGACTCCATAATACTAAGGGTCAATAATAAATTATTGAAAAACAAAAATTATATTATAGAATGTCTAACCTTAAAAAAAGAAAAGTATTTTACTTACATATATATTTCACAATTTGTAAATAAAGTTTTATAAGTAATTTATAACAGTTAGATGCAAGTAGACTTCAAACTCAAGCCACTGACAACAGAGAAAATAATGAAAGAAATAAGCGCCGCCAGACGAATAAACATCTGAAAATCTCGAGCCCGCTGACTATATGGACTTCGAAAACATGCGCCGGGTTGAACGTGTTAATTATGGTGCGATAAATTTCAGTATATCCTTGCATTATTTAATATTATGTGTATGCGAATAGCGGCAATAATTATTAATTTTATATTTGTGTGGTTTTACGCATCGCCTTTGATATAAAATAAAGCGGTGTATGCAAGGTGTTTTCTTATAACAATTTTGTGTGTGACGAGCGCTCTTAAATAATAATTATAATGTTAATAATAATGTCTATGACATTATCGAGTGGCTGTGTGCGTCATTAGTTACATGTAATTAAGTTATATCCTATTTGGCGGCTGAGTGTTTGTTAATAGCGAAAAGTGATTTTATAAGCGGTAATGATATACGAGGGTGGGGTGAAAAGTTTCCGGCCTGAAATAGAGATGGCGCCAGCAGGTCTAATTTTTAGCTTGTATTCTATAGTACTATATTTTAATAGATTGTATATAAATTTTCAGGTAGATTGTTCTGTTTGTGTACATTTGAGAGCCGATTGAATAAGACGCCTCGATTGCTTACGTGAAAATGGAAAAATCAGAGAAGCGTGCGGTCATCAAATACTTCTATTTAAAAGGCCTAACATCATTACAAATTAAAGAAGAGCTGGATTCCACACTGAAAGACTCTTCTCCATCATATTCAACGGTTAAACAGTGGGTTTCTGAATTTAAGAAAGGTCGCACAAGCACTTCTGACGATCCACGTTCAGGACGCTCCGTTGAGGTCACAACTCCCGAAATGATTGAAAAAATTCATAAAATAGTAATGGAGGACCGCAGATTAAAAGTAAGTGAGACAGTTGAGGCTACTAGGATGTCAACTGAACGTGTGCGCAATATTTCACATGAACATTTGAGCATAAGGAAGCTCTGTGCTAGGTGGGTGCCACGTTTGCTAACGTTCGATCAAAAATTTACCCGGAAAACTGTTTCAATCAAAAATTTGGCGCTGTACAAGCGAAACCCCAGCGAATTTATGGGTCGATTTATAACTGTGGATGAAACTTGGATTCACCACTACACTCCTGAAACTAAACAACAGTTGAAACAATGGATTGGACCAGGTGAACCAACCCCAAAGTAGGCAAAAACAATTTTGTCGGCGAATAAGGTTATGGCGATTGTTTTTTGGGATGCGAAAGAAATTATTTTCATTGATTACCTGGAGAAGGATAAAACCATCACTGGTCAATGCTACGCAGAGTTATTGCAGCGTTTGAAGAAAGAAATGAAAAATAAACGACCTCACTTGGCGAAGAAAAAAATCTTGTTTCACCATGACAATGCACCTGCCCATTCGTCGATCGTTGCGATGGCTAAAATCAAGGAATTGAAGTTCGAATTATTCCCCCAACCAGCATATTCACCAGATTTAGCCCCCAGCGACTATCATTTGTTTCCTAATCTTAAAAAATGGTTCGGAGGTAAAACATTTGAGACCAACGAGGAAGTCATCGATGCTGTAAATGAGTATTTTGAG